GTAGATTAAAAATAGCCATAGTGAAGGTAAAATTATTACGTTAAATAATTGTTTTTATACGAATTAAATATTGATTCAACGTTTATTTGTTGCAATACCGTGAAATAAATTGTATTATATATTTTTTCTGTTTACACTAAATTTAAAGTTCTGTTTACATGTTATAACAATTAGAATGTAGACGTTTTGCCGTTTCACGGTTTTTCCTCTGTTAATTATGTGTTTATAAATCATTTCAAACTAAAGCAGCACCATGCCCACCCTTAATTAAACCGTCTCAGTAGTTTACCGTAATTAATAATCTATTTTTGGAATTTATGCGAGAATTTTTGAATTTTAGTAAATACTAGAGTCAGTGCATCGCGTATTGAAATAATAGCTTCATCCCTAGTTCGTTTATTATTGAATATTTTTACGCGTTTAACTTATGCTTCTCCCCAATTCTCGTCGCGTATTTTTTTCAAATTTTCTTATATTCTAGAATCGAGAAAGATACGAATTCGCGTTTTTTCTTTTGATTCTTTCAATTTTTCAATTGCATTACGCATTATTGCAATAATTTCTATCGTTACATTTAATTCTAATTGTTTAGCAGCGACACTTGTGGAATCGACCCTACATTTTACTGACACTTGTGAAATCGACCCTACATTTTTTTTGTTTTTACGTGGAGGTAGGCCGACTCTATGTGATAAACAAGTGGCAACCAAACGGTGGCTCTTCCTCTACATTCGACGGATAATGTGTACAGGTATTTAATGTAACTTTTTAGCAATTTGTTTTTGTTATTCATCCAAAGCGATATATTATGAAATTAAATTAATCACTCAATAAGTTTTAACGTTAGATTGTTTCCTCGATATGGCCATGGTGGTCATCGGTGACTGGAGTGCCTGAAATGTTTAGAATAATTAAAATAAAATAAATGTTTAAAAATTTTGAACGTCATAGACATTATTTTCAACTGAAAAAAAAAAATTATAAAGCATAATACTATAATCCTATGTTAAAATGTATTTTCTTGTGGCCGCCTGACAGCAACCTGTAAATCTGGCGCGACAGTGAACGTGTTAATAAGTAAATGTTGTTCAAATTATATCGTGTTTGATATCATTTTCATCAGAAAAATCTCACCAACATGATGTTAAATAAAATATGAAAAAAAGTAAAATTAAAGAAATTATATTTTTCTATTATCATTTGTCGAGCCGTGAAATCTCGTAAAGGAAACCGACTGGTGTAGCGTTACACGCTTGACTGACCGCGAGCGAGATAATATGGGCGCAGCATTGACGCAGACCTAGGCGTAGGACCATCTATACTGTCACTTGTGGAATCCAAACTTACTGACTCTTGTAGAGAATTTACTGTACCTCTACTTCACTAGCTCTAAAAGAAAGAAAAATGACAGAGGCACGAAACTATATACATTGGTACACAATTAATTACATATTATTCAGTAAAAATTACAAGCACTTAGCTACAATCCTTCATACTTCCACGATAGGAAGTTTCTCCTTTCCACGATAATTCGAACATCGAGCACAGCCCAAAAAAACTAAGAAAAAAGCTTCAGTACTTAAAAAATAGTAGCAAATTCGGAAAATAAAAAAAAAAGTTTCTCGATTCCAGAATAACTGGGAGCATCGAGCACGCATAAAAGGGAGCCTAAAAAACCGAAAATCTTCGACAAACCGAGGCAGAGGTAAACCCAGAGATCTCGTTCCTCGATTCATCCCCTAAACTAGGTCACAGCGACAATGAAGCAGTCTGGAGCGAGTATCGCGCAACTTGGGACTCCAGAAAATTAATTAACCCCCAAGGCTACGAACAAAGACAAAGAAAAAGAAAGGAGAAAAACAGAAAAATAAAAGGGGGAAACTGAAACTTTCCACGCTTATCTTCCGTTCGATTTGTTTCACGTTAGGAAAAGTAAAACAGCGAGACCGAGCAAATCGCCGTTACGTTTCGCAATGTTAGCTAATATCACGGTGATCGACGAAACCGCTGAAAAGTTCGCCAACTTTTTTCCGCAGACGGAAGGGAACCGGTTTCGCTCGATCCACAATGTCGCACGATTCAGTAATGGTAATCCATCATCGGGTAACCCGTTCCACATGCGTTCCTCTCCGCTTCGGTATGTTAATACGATTCATAAGTGGTCTAAATAGGATGTCGCAAAGTGGGGTCAAACACGACGACCTCCGAGTGCCTGACTCTTTCTCCCGATGCACTCTGGGTCATACATACGATCATCTGACTATCAAACGTTTCCGATAAACGTTCGGAAAATCGTGGACAATTGTCGCGTACACTCTGCAGAATTTAAACGCACGTTCTGCTTGTGGTAGGAAGAAGACATTTGGTAACGACGATATTAGCACAAGCGTCACGTGAACAGAATTACCGCTGGTGTGAATGAATTTGTTTAACAAGCTTGTAGGAGCAATTAGAAGGATCTAACTTGCGATTTTTTTTTTATGGACGTGTAGTTACTCCAAAAAATATTCGGACAGGGTTTATTCTTTTTCCCTGTGAAACGTCGTTTAGTGTACCTTAGGATTAGGTACTGCTAACGTACCCCTCATTTTTTCGTACCCCATAGGTGAAGTGGTTTGTTTACGTTCAAGTCCAATGTTTTTACTGTTCTAGGCTTTGAAAAACTGTGGAAAAATTCTGGGATACCTATTAGAGTCTCTGCTACATTACGCGATAGTTTGTTAAGTTTCTTCGATAAAAATAAAAATTTGCTTGGAAGAATAATAAGAGTGAAATTTCGCTCGGGTCTTTAATGACCCAGATCGCCCACGAGGGGTTAATTTCCATAGTTAATTAAAATTACGCGTTACATAAATATTGAGACACTTAGCACAAATGAATATCTACAATACTCGTACTATCTCAAACAATGTTGTTTGTGCCGTGTTTGATGGATGTTTGACTACTGTCTCAACATTTTCCAGGGTAACTTGTATACTTTTCCGTCATTAATGTCAAGCACCACGTACACAAGAGTTTCTGGCAGTGTAACGTTATCGGAGTCTAGACTTTTAACAGCACATTTGCCGCTTATCGTCCTTTTTGCACGCTCTATCTAGGCGTATCAACGGCGTGCCAGAAATACTGCCACTAAATCGTTCCGTTACCCATCGATAAGAGCCTCGTCTTATCTTCGTTAATCTTCAATTACGAGATTGGCCGTTTCTACGTGTACGTAACATGGCAGAAATAAAATACTTCCGTGCAAAAACGAACAAAAAGAGGAGAAAAAGAACAAGATTCGTTGTAATTCGAAGCAATTAAAAACGATGCCTCGATTATTCCAACAGGATGCAACGGGTCTTTGGTGTGCAATTAACCGCATCCACGTTACAACTATTTAATAATGTATCGAACATCGCCAGGCGGATAGCCCACGGGAAACGAACGGGCGAAGAATTGAATTACAAAGTGGTAACCTGCATACAACGACCGCTTAACTTTCATCGAGGCGTTGCCGGAGTGATTAGCGAAACGATATTGCGATAATCACAACGAAGTCACGCTATACCAACACACACACACGCGCCTACGTCGAAACTGCTCCTTTCTAAGTGTTTCTCTAATTTCCATTGAATTTCCAATCGTTGCAAGAGAAGATCCCATCAAACCCGATTATTTTCCACGCGTGTGAAGAGGACGAGAAGGTTCTTTCTCAAGCCGGAGAGGGGAAAACGTGATCGCGACGAGACGTAGTTCTATAAATAAACGAAAGAAAAAGGCCCTACCTTCTTCCTCTCTCTCTTATCCAGCCGCTTTTCATCCACGGCGATCAATTCCCCCGCTTAAAGATGCATCGATCGTGTCTGGACGGTCACGTTTCTTTTTGCTGGTCGCGTCACGAACATCGGGGGAAAATCGTGACGAGCCCCGCGGTTCAGAGGAAAGAGAAGAGGTCGCCGCGGCGGGTAACCGACCAACTCTTTCTTTTTCGCGTGCA